GAAAACATTTTGGGGTAACGAATATATACATTGTCTTAACTGGGGAAATGGTTTCATGGGTGTATGCATGTACATAAATATGTGCCGTTTATTACATGTCAATGACATGAGATAACATTGATTTTTCTTTTCATTTTGTAACTGCATAATGGAAATAATATTGGCTTTAGAGTCAGACATATGAGTTGAATGCTAGCTCTGCTCTTATATATAATGCAACCTTATATAAATTACTTACCATTTTGAGTCTCAGCTTCTATATGTATTTATGTAGTAGTAAGAATATCATATGTGAGGTTAAGAATATATATGTCAAAGGCTTGCTGTATTAAATATGATAACATGTATATTTTTCTTCTTTATCCCTAAACCCACTCCCATTACCCTCTCCTTAATGGGTACCCTTCTTGTATTTGACACGTGGCCTTGAATATGTTTGTATGTATGCATGCATATGCTTTTCAGTAATTAAATGGCATTGTGCTAAAACTCTCGTTTTCCCATCATGCTAAATTTTAAGGATCTACCCTTATTTCTGTATACATGTCCAATACCTTGCTTCTAACTGCTGTATAGTATTCCACATTAAGTATACAGCAAAGTGAGTTCACTGACTTCATAAGAGACAGATATCTGTGTGCCAATTGTCTACTACTGCAAACAATAATGGAATAAATATCTTAGTGCTTGTTTTTTTTTGTGTGTGTGGATCAGAACAAGTTCTCTTGGCTATATATCCAAAAGTGCAACTACTGGACTATAGGATGACATATGATGAATTTTACTAAGTCACTATTCCTAGGTTGCTTTCCAAAATGGCTCAATCAGCTTATACTTCCACCAGCACCTGAAGTTAATGACCTTACTAATATTTACCAATGCAATGGATATAGTATCTCATTCTCATTTGCATTTCTCAGATTACTGGAAAATTTCAGCATCACTTTCTATTCTTATTAACAACTCAGCTTTCCCCTTTGTAAATTACATTCTTATCTTTTGTTCATTTTTATAATGAGTCTCCTGTCTTTTACTTGTTGATTTACAATTCCTTGGAATGTCTCTCTATTAATGTCATTAATTTTATGCATTGCTAAAAGCTATTTCAGTCTTTCCTCTGCCTATTAACTTTAAGGTGTCATTCACTGACTTGAAATCTTTCATCTCAATATAGTCCTAGCCATTCTTTCTTAGCCCAATTCTTTAAAAAATTATTTTTGGGTCATGTGGAAGAAGTACAGTTCCTCACCTGTATCTCAAACATAATTCTCCCACATTTTCTTCTATGAGCTTTAAAGTTTTACTTTTTAAACCATCTTTTTAATCCCTCTGGAGTCCAACTTTTTATATGCAATGAAGGCATTTATTTTTCTCCATTTAATGAGCCAACGTTTCAATACTATCTGCTAAAGACTGCCCTGTCTCCGTTACATACGTGGTACATCTGTATCATTTATTGCCTACATTTTTTTATTTATTTATTTTATTTTTATTTTTTTTTTAGTTTCGCTCGTTACCCAGGCTGGAGTGCAATGGCGCAATCTCGGCTCACTGCAACCTCCGCCTCCTGGGTTCAGGCAATTCTCCTGCCTCAGCCTCCTGAGTAACTGGGATTACAGGCACGCGCCACCATGCCCAGCTAATTTTTTGTATTTTTAGTAGAGACAGGGTTTCACCATGTTGACCAGGATGGTCTCGATCTCTTGACCTCGTGATCCACCCGCCTCGGCCTCCCAAAGTGCTGGGATTACAGGCGTGAGCCACTGCGCCTGGCCTTACATTTTTTTTTTAATAAAAAGAAGACTGCTTCTGGAAGAGTGATGACCCAAAATAAAAAAGACCATGAGAAATATCCCTGCCTTTCCACTCTCAAGAGGGTTGCTGGTGACACTGCTCACTATGGGATCAGCCTTCAGAAGCCACATGTGAATAGGAAATCTTAAACACTCCTAGCAGCCTCAAATGAATTTTTTTGATCAAATATAAAGAAAGAAACAGCCTTAATAGATCAAGTGCATCAGATATATCAGATGAATTCCTACAATGCCTTCAATTTTTAATGGCATAATAATGTGTTTCTATGTCATATTAGATCAATGTTTTGAAGTTCACAATGTATTAAATATCACATCATAACTATACTTCTGCAGTAGCTATTTAGGATGCTAGTCAACCTGTTTTCCACAAAGTTTTCCAATTTTCCCAAAGCTTCTTAATTCATGAATTGATTTAGGGTTCTTGACATTACATAATATTTAACTGGTAAATTTTTTGTAAGCAAGGAAGAATTTAGGCAAAAACAGGTCTGACTTGCTGCTTGATTCTGTATTCTACAGAGTCCTCAAAAAAGAGTTTTTGACTGATTACCTGGCTGAGAGCCCACACAGTTACTGGGTTAGGATTTACACGAAGAGGGAAATCTCCTTTAGTGAAAGTCATGATCTATTTGTCATTGCCTTTTGTTCAAAGGAAAAAGCACCAGAGACTTCAAGAACTATTACACTGTGCAAAAATGGACACTGTGCAATTGATCATGGATCCCTTTGCAGGGGTCACAGAGCACTATGGACTATACACTTAAATGAATATTTCTGCCATGCTTTTGGATTTGACTGAAAATTATATTGGAATCTTGTTACTGTTTCATTGCCCAATGAGGCTGAACAAGTGGAAAACAGAATCAAGCAAGCTAGTATTTTTCTTAGAAACTGGTAGTATATAGCATTATGAGCTGGAATCCTAACTAAAGGGCTATTCTTTTTTTTTTTTTTTTTTTTTTTTTTTTTGCTGAGACAGGGTCTCACTGTCACACAGGCTGGAATGCAGTGGTACGATCACAGCTCACTGCAGCCTCTACCTCCTGGGCTCCAGTGATCCTCCCTCTGTAGCTTCCCTCCATAGCTGGGACCACAGGTCCGTGCCACGGTGCTCAGCTAATTTTTTTTTTTTTTTGTAGAGAGGGGTTCCATGTTGCACGGGCTGGTCTCAAACTACTGGCCTGATGTGACCCACACTGACCTCCCAAAGTGCTGGAATTACAGGTGTGAACCACTGCGTCTGGCCTAAAGTGCTACTCCTGCCTAGTACCAGAACTCAGACTTTCCATTCTCAATGCCCTTGGATGTACTCGAGCTTTAAGAGCAGAAGATCACATTCGATCTACCTAACAACATTTAAGCAATGTTGATTACACACAGATTTCTTGGGAGCGTCACAGTCAGAACTGGTGGTGGTGAATCTACAAATCTACCAGACGGAGTTTATAGTTTTTGTTTGGCTCTTGCAATAATTCACCCTTACAGGACAAAAGCAACTGTGATTTATGTTTTAGTTTACATAGCTGATATGCTGTTTTGTCAACATTCATGTTCTATAGTATTTTAGAAAGTTCTAAGGAATGTTCTGTTTTGGAACAAAAGAACATTATTGCCACCTCACAGCAGGATATATGGAAGGCTATGCTGTCCCAGGAAGAAAATGATAGGATTGAATGAGGCACTGTGTCTCACTCCCTTCAGTTCTCTGCAACACAGTGGCTATTCTAGAGAGTGTACGAGCACTTCAAATAATGGCCAACAACCCCAATGTGTTGTGAAATCACAACAGACCTACTTGAGAAAAAGATACAAAGAATGTGCATGTTATATGTCACAACGAATATGAATGCACATGTTATATGTGTCACATATATCTACATATGGCAGAATTTGGATATAGACAATATACCACGTCAGCTATGTAAATTATAAAACATGAGTCACAATTCTTGTCGCTCTGTAATTGTGAATTCCTGTAAGTTTTTCACAGATGTTGAACCAGAAAATTCTAATGTGTTCATGTGGAAAGGTCTACAATTTACTCCACACACAAAAAAACCCCACATCATTTTTTTTCTCCTAAAGTATTAGTGAAACATGGGTATCATTATGCTCTTTGGTCTCACACCATCTGGAATATTTCTGAAATCCATATAAGTGATACTAGAGAATCTGTTTTGATTTTCTACAGAAAAATTTTTAAGTTAAGATAGGATATTACATGGGAAAAAAAAAATCTTAAGCTCTAGATGTCCTAACTAAAATTTTTATTAAAATAGCATATAAAGTCCCCACATTGTATATTTAATTATTTCAGTATATTTTGTTACTTTTACTCATCAATTATATATTTCATCAATGGTTTGAGACATCCACAGGGGTCTTCCCATAGCTGCAGATCAGGGGAGACTATTGAACACTGAAATAGATTCCACTGAAATAGATTTAATTATCCCTGCTTCTGTTCCTTGTAGCACTTTATTCATAGCTTTTGTCATTATAATACTTACCATACCCTATCATAATCAATGAGATGCACATCTATTTTCTCCTACAAGAGGCAATAATCCTTCTCGCGGCCCTACTTTCTCACAGAGCCTGGCGCAGGGCCTGGTATGAAGTAGCTATTCAATAATTTTAAAACAAAATTGAATGGGTGACCCCATAGACAAGACAACAGATAACAAAGACTGGGTATTGTAACTGTTCATGTCCTTGAAGACACCCTGTAAGTGAGAGAGGAAAAGGTCTAAGAATGAGGCAGGAAGTTAAAATAAAATCATGAAGTGATGAAAAGATGTAGACATAGGAGGAAAATAAATGGCTTAAATACAACCAACGTATCATCACAGCTACTATTAAAAGTGAATTTAATCAGAAGCAGGACTACCGCCATACTCAAAGAAGAATTTCATTCCTGAATGATCAAGAACTTCTTGTTTAAGTACATAATTTTCTTGTATGCACTCTTTAAGACAAAACAATGGGAAAGATATTATTGATAGAGACCTGCCACAGAAAGAAACCCAATGGATACTGGTAATGCAACTACTCTCTTTAGAAAAGACCTCCAAGACAGCATGCTTTTACTATCAGTCTGGTGAAGGTGGAGGTGGCTGGCATAAATAGTAACAAAGAAATATTCTTTGAGTCCCTACCTAACATGAAAGGCCATGCCAACAGTTTCATAAATTATCACGTTTTATTTGTATGAGTCAGATATCACGGTGACCATTTTACAAAGAGAAAAAATGAAGATCAGAAGGATTGAATGACTTGACATGGTAGCAAAATGAGTGGGGCAGCTTTGGTCAAACCAAACTTTGGGTCTCATCTTAGAATAGTAGCCACCTCCTTTGGTGCTTGGAGACATTGTTACTCACCTACTGCAATATAAAATTATTCCCATTTTAAGATACTTTGTTTAGGCAACTTCACATTTGCTAAATTGCAGTTTGAGGATTCCTTTCACATGAAGTTGGAGGATCTGGCTGTACTCTTTGGGCATCTGATGGAAACCACGTTTAGGTAGCATGTTGTCGTAATAGTGATGGCTGACAGGTGTGTCTTCTACAGTTTTAGAGAAGGGCCAGAATCCATACAGCTTCACGTTTTCACACAGTTCCACTGCAACACTTGTGATCATCAAACCGGTGGACAGGCGGTACGCGGTCACACCTTTAGTTCTCCAGAAAAGGGCCAGATGTCTCAGGTACTTGGGATGGAAAAACAGAACCTTTTGTCTTGCTTTAGACTCTTTGAGTGTGTGGTACACTTTAAAAGAGGTACCCGTATTGGCCCTGAAGGAAAATGCTGGCAGAAGAAGAAATGCATCTCCATAGGTTGCAATGTCCTCCAGAAATAGGGCTTTCTTTTCCTTTAAGTTCCCATATCTGCCAAATTAAAAAAATATTATAGTATTCCCAAGAATAATCAAAGTAGCAGTTTTGATAACATGAAGCTGAATTTACCATTGGTCAAAAAACTGAACCATTTATATACTGTATATAAAACGGAGTGTGGACTCAGATAAAACTCTTTCAAGTAAGCATTATGTCAGTATCAATGGTGTATCTTCTACTATCTTTCTTGGAATCCTTTCAATTTCTGCTTTCTTACTGGGCTGCACTCATACTGAACAGACATTTCTTGTATTGTTTTCTATTTCTTTCAGTAATTTGTCCTAAAGTTGCTTTTTGTTATTGAAACATCTTCCAAATGTATAACAATAAAATATTTCTTCAGGCTAGGTACAGTGGCTCATGCCTGTAATCCTAGCACTTTGGGAAATCGAGGTGGGTGGATCACAAGGTCAGGAGATTAAGACCAGCCTGGCCAACATGGTGAAATCCCGTCTCTACTAAAAATACAAAAATTAGCTGGGTGTTGTGGCACATGCTTGTAATCCCAGCTACTCCAGAGGCTAAGGTCCGAGAATTGCTTGAACCCAGGAGGCAGAGGTTGCCAAGATTGTGCTGCTGCACTCCAGCTGGGGTGATAGAGCGAGACTTTGTCTTAAAAAAATTAAAAAATATATATTTTTTCAAGCATAGCATGCATATCAATACATTTTTAAAATTCATTTAGCTGCACACTTATGATTTGTGCACTTTTTAATTGTACTTTAGATTCTGGGAAATGTGGAGATCATGCAGGATTGTTGCATAGGGACATACATGGCAAGGTGGTTTGCTGCCTCCATCCCTCCGTCACCTATATCTGGTATTTCTCCCCATGTTATCTTCCCCCAACCTCCCCACCCTCCACTGGCCCTCCCCTAAGCCCCCCAACAAGCCCCAGTGTGTGATGTTCCCCTCCCTGTGCCCACGTGTTCTCATTGTTCAACACCCGCCTATGAGTGAGAACATGTGGTGTTTGGTTTTCTGTTCTTGTGTCAGTTTGCTGAGAATGATGGTTTCCAGGTTCATCCATATCCCTACAAAGGACATAAACTCATAGTTTTTTACGGCTGCATAGTATTCCATGGTCTATATATGCCACATTTTCCTTGTCCAGTCTATCATCAATAGACTTTTGGGTTGGTTCCAGGTCTTTGCTATTATAAACAGGGCTGCAATGAACATAAGTGTGCATGTGTCTTTATAATAGAATGATTTATAATCCTTTGGGTATATATGCAATAATGGGATTGTGGGGTCAAATGGAATTTCTATTTCTAGATTCTTGAGGAATTGCCACACCATCTTCCACAATGGCCGAACTAATTTATACTCCCACCAATAGTGTAAAAGTATTCCTATTTCTCCACATCCTCTCCAGCATCTGCTGTCTCCAGATTTTTTAATGATCGCCATTCTAATTGGCATGAGGTGGTATCTCAATGTAGTTTTGATTTGCATTTCTCTAATGACCAGTGATGATGAGCATTTTTTCATATGTTTGTTGGCCTCATATATGTCTTCTTTTGAAAAGTGTCTGTTCATATCCTTTGCCCACTTTTGAATGGGTTTATTTGTTTCTTGTAAATCTGTTTTAGTTCTTTGTAGATTCTGGATATTAGCCCTTTGTCAGTTGGGTACATTGCAAAGATCTTTTCCCATTCTGTTGGTTGCCAGTTCACTCTAATGATTGTTTCTTTTGCTGTAAAGAAGCGCTGGAGTTTAATTAGGTCCCATTTGTTTATTTTGGCTTTTGTTGCCAGTGCATTTGGTGTTTTAGTCATGAAGTCCTTGCCTACACCTATGTCCTGAATGGTATTGCCTAGGTTTTCTTCTAGGGTTTTTATGGTGTTAGCTCTTATGTTTAAGTCTTTAATCCATCCGGAGTTAATTTTAGTGTAAGGTGTCAGGAAGGGGTCCAGTTTCTGCACTTATTTCATTATATGTTTCCTTTAGAAAACTTAAAGTAGGCCGGGCACAAAGGCTCATGCCTCTCAGCACTTTGGGAGGCTGAGGCGGGAAGATCACTTGAAGCCAGGAGTTTGAGACCAGTCTGGGTAACACAGCGAGACCCTGCCCCCCCCACCTCTATTAAAAATGAAAAGAATTAGCTGGGCACAGTTGTGCATGCCTGTAGTCCCAGCTACTTGGCAGGCTGAGGTGAGAGGAAACCGTGAGCCCAGGAGTTTGAGGCTACAGTGGCCTGTGATTGCACTGCTGCATTCTAAACTCAGTGACAAATTGAGGCAAAGAAAGAGAGAAAGAGAAAGAGAGAGAAACAAAGAAGGAGAAAGGACAGAAGGAAGGGAGGGAGGGAGGGAAAACTTACAATATCTAAATGCAAATATAGATATACATATATATTATTTTAAAAATTTTCCTCCGTGCATTGCAGTAGCCATACGTATGACTTAAATAACTTGGTATCCTAGTAAGCATAATTGTGAGTGTTTAGAAAATATGCTTTGAAAGGCAGGTTCAATATTTTATTTTCTTTCAAGAGATGCTATAACTATCAGTAGGAACATACTCTATTACTGATGTTTATCAGTCACTTTTGATGAAAACAATGGAGTAAAAACTATGTATAAGAGTTTTCATTATCCAACACTTTTATGGTAGTTACGTTGCAGAAATGAAAGATGGTAATTATTTGTTGGTAATAAACTCTCCAACATGATAACTGTATTCTGCCAGGTTGCCTTAGAGCTTATTCTCTGAAGTTTCTAAATAGAGTAAGTTTTATCAAGAAAGTGCTACCGAGATAGAAAGTAATGCTAACACTAAAAGAAAATGAAAAAGGCCGGGTGCGGTGGCTCATGCCTGTAATCCCAGAGCTTTGGGAGGCAGAGGCGGGCGGATTATCTAAGATCAGAAGTTCAAGGCCAGCCCGGCCAACATGGTGAAACCCTATCTCTACTAAAAATACAAAATTAGCTGGGCATGGTGGCTCATGCCTGTAATCCCAGCTACTTGGGGGGCTGAGGCAGGACAATCTCTTGAACCCAGGAGGAAAAGGTTGCGGTGAGCCGAGATCCTGGCTGACACAGTGAAAAACCATCTCTACTAAAAGTCTTGTTACACAGGAGCCTGGGCAACAAGAGCAAAACTCCCTGTCCAAAAAAAAAAGGGGGAAAAAAAGTGGCTTCATTATTGTTAAAGAGATGAAATAAATGTGTTCTCATTTGATTAGCTTATGACATTGGAAATACAACTGAGTCATAACTCTTATGAACAACAACCTTGACAGAATGCAACATTTGCAAATGAATTCTTATATATTTTTCCAAAAAGTCATTCCGCCTGTATTGCCAAGTCAGCCTCAGCAACAAGATTAGTGCTTAAGCTAGAATCCTGTTGAACAATGAAAAAATGTTCTTGACCAGTTACGTAACTTGCTGGTACTTACTTCAGAGTTATGATACTGGGATTTATAGTCACAAGATTTGTTTTACTGCCAACATCTTTACTAACATCTCCTGTGGTTGGGGGGAGGTTACATCTGAAATTTTAAAAGAAAATTATTTTCAAAATAGAACTTGTTAAAAAAAGATTGTATACACACATACGCACACATACATGTATATATAATAATTGTCCTTATATTGGATAAATCATTGCTATTAAGAGAGCCTCAGAATCCATTTGGTTTCTATTTAAAATGATTTAATGTAGTAATTATTCAGCTCTTAGTTGACATTTCAATGTTGTATAAAATATACACTTTTTTTTTTTTTTTTTTTTGAGATGGAGTCTTGCTCTGTTGCCCAAGCTGGAGTGCAGTGGCACTATCTCAGCTCACTGCAACCTCCATCTCCCAGGTTCAAGTGATTCTCCTGCCTCAGTCTCCTGAATAGCTGAGACTACAGGCATGCACCCAGCTGATTTCTGCATTTTTAGTAGTGATAGGGTATCACCATGTTGGCCAGGCTTGTCTCAAACTCCTGACCTCAAGTGATTCACCTGCTTCGGCCTCCCAAAGTGCTGGGATTGCAGGCATGAGCCCCCATGCCTGACTAAACTATACAAATTTGATAAATGCTTTCAATATGGACAATAACTTTTGTAAGTAACAAAACCAGAAATGACAATTACACCTTGTCTAAGTTTAGAAGAGTTTCCAATCATTTTATTAAAATTGTTATTTATATTATTTATATTAATGATGTTCCCATAGTGGTATGATCACCCACTTGCATGTTCTTAAAAAAATTGATGCACTGTTACTAAAGTTATACAGTCTACCAGAAGCAAAGACTACATTAAAAAAATCAAAACTTCCCGATTCCCATGTGGATAGTTTTGCCACCAAATTATGGTGTTAATAAATAAAATCCTAATGTTCTTATAGTGATGTTTTTCATACTAATGTTCTCATCTTCCTTTGAGTACTAATTTGCTTTTAAATTGGAAAACAAAATAAGAATTCTAATTTTGAGTAATTATATTCTTGTCACAAGAAAGGAAAAATTGGTTATGACTTTCTAAATCTCATTTACTGAAGTTCAAGTAGTAAGGCTAAAAACATAAGAAGGGCGCATCCTGGAGTGCTTCCTGAAAAAGGCTATTCAAAGCTGATGTGATCTGTGACATGACTGAGGATGAAATACGCCATTCCATGTCCTATAAAACACATGAGGCCAGGCGTGGTGCCTCATGCCTGTAATCCCAGCACTTTGGGAGGCCAAGGTGGGCGGATCACCAGGTCAGGAGGTCAAGACCATCCTGGCTAACACAGTGAAAAATGGTCTCTACTAAAAACACAAAAAATTAGCCGGGTGTGGTGGCACACGCCTGTAGTCCCAGCTACTCTGCAGGCTGAAACAGGAGAATCACTTGAACCTGGGAGGCAGAGGTTGCAGTGAACTGAGATCACACCGTTGCACTCCAGCCTGAATGATAGAGAAGATTCCCTCTCAAAAAAGAAGAATGAATTAATTAAACATGAACTTCTTCCCTCACTGATATAAAAGCTATGTCAGAAAATGAATATTTTTATAATATATAATTTTATAATATATATTTATAATTTATAATTTTATAATATATAATATATATTTAATAATTTTATATTTATAATTATATGATAGTTATAATTATATACTTGTATTATATTTTATATGTAATATAATTATAAAATAATTATATATATTTTTATATAACATTATATATATAATTTATATATAATATAATATATAATATATTTTATATATTATATTATAATTATATAATATATAACATTTAATAATATATTATAAAACATTATATTATATATATTATATATTATTAAATATTATAATATATTATAATATATAATACTA